GCAAAGATGAAGACTAATGGAGGTAAGATTAGAAAAACTCAAACAGTTACCTTCTATATATACAAAAGAACAACAGGTGCAAAGTATTTCGTATTTCTTGTCGTTAGGCTCGTGGCCAACGGTGACCACGTCAGAGATCTACTCAGGCAGCAAGAATAATTGTAGTGTACAACATCAAGGCAGATATACCCTTGACAATCAAAGGTATCAGGGTGTCGTCGTCTGCGTGATATTTACTGCAGGCGACCGCGTTAGTATTTGTTGCCAGCCTATGCCTTTCACGTCAGCCTAAGAGATTTCATGACGTCAGAGAAGAGGATTTAGGAGACCTTAAGAGGATAGGAGATAGGGAATTGGGGCCACTAAAGTGAGTTTCCAGTTCTTATCCTCTATCCCAACTTGAATCCTCACTAAAATATTTGATAGGCTTGCGTTGGGAACAGAGGGAAACAGAACACGAGCCAAGCAGAACAAAAGTCACCAAAAACAGGTCTCTGGGTCGCACTATGGTCTCGTCCTTCAATGGTCTCTCCTCTCAAACAAACAAACTTTAGTTTCTCAAAACAAACAGGAGCGGTTCTACTAAAAACAATTTTGAAACAAAATAAAAAGAGTAATTTTATATACTCAGCAACGTAAACTCAGGTCATAAAAACATGGGCAAGGGTAAAATAAGTGTTATTAAATAAAATCTCCGTAATTATCCGTTTTAGACTACAGTGGAAAAGATAAATACGCTGTAAGTAATGTAAATTTACGTGTGAACTGATAAGTAATAATAATAAGTCTTAGCTGTTATATACGTAATACATACGTCACGTAAACCTATAGCATGACAAAGAAGACGAGACACGCACCGGTGTTGGTTGATCGGTTGGTAAACGTTCCGACACCACTATTCCGTAAAGACGTTCTTCTTTTCTTAAGTGTGGATCATGAAAAGTTTGTTCGAACACTGGAGTTGTCCAAAAACTTAACACATACACGTGAAAGTTTTTCACACTCTACCTCCATAGTTTCAACGGCATAGAAAGAAAATGCGTTTACAGTAAAGATTTAAACTGCACTAGGATGAGATACAACAGACACAGCAGACTTACATTAATCTTTATATTGAACTTGATATTATATTTGCGTAGGGAAAAACGGAGAAAAAGTACTCTACTTGAGTTTCTAGATTTAAAAGATTGTATATGTTTAATTGGAAGGAGAGGGTTTTTGTTTAGACTTTTTGACACTTATCACATCATGAAGGAACGACATCTATTAAGAGTAAGGAGTGAAGTGAGTCATCACAACAGTATAAGTATCTACGACATCTTCAAACTAATAAACTGTCCACACGGAACTCCGACCGGGTGCGTATTTTCCGCTGAGACTTTACACGTAAAAAAAATAACCCCCCCAGACCCCCCCCAGGCTTTTGGTCAGTCATAGCACCACACTCCCAATCCTAATCCCAATCCCATTCAATCCCACATCCATTAAACACTAGCTCCCGGGTACCACCAACCCACCCCAATACCATACTCCGTCGCACATACAATACCGCTGCTTGTGTACGTGAGCTAAGGTGTTGTAATGGGATCGGGATTGGGCAATTTGGGATCGTCCACCCTCTCCCTCCGGTCCACATTAATACAAATGATCCCAATACGTATGATTGTATGAACTATGAAAATATCTTAAAATCAATACAAATGTATTTATTATAAACGTTAGTCTTTAACACCTATCACTGTGTATATCACCATTCAAACATCTTTTAAAAGTTGAACAAACCCCACACAGCTCAGTGAAATGTTGACTTTATTTGATAATTTCAGTAAAAACTAACGTTCATATTTCTCTTTTTGATTATAATACTGATGAACGTTCAAAACAAAGCACTTTGGCAACTTACCACCTATACGTTTTAAAATGCTTATTAAGCACCGTAACCTTCATGATATAATTTCTCCGTCATAATCGTTTGTGTCCGTGAACGGCCGACTGTTGTGTGACGTCAAATGCTGCGGCTGCAAGGCATTGTGGGGCAGCATTTTCTCCT